TTTAGAGTTTATTAAACCTGTAGAAATTTTTTTATGAAAGTATTTTTCCTTTTGCTATTTCCCAGTTCTGTGAGAACACATTATTCATGCATCAGTCAAGAATCTTCTATTTATATTCCCCAACTCTAGGTGAGCTCCTATACCACCACCACCATCAGCAGCAGCAGCAGCATCATTATCATCATCATCATAATCAGCAGCAACAGCAATAGCAGCATCACTATGTTCCTTTAGAGGAAAGATTGTTTCCCTTTCTTCCTCTTACTCCTAGCACCTGGCACAGGATCCAGGCCATTGTTGGAACTTCATAAATGGTTACAGAATGAATTTATTCATAAAAAATGCCTATTGCCATTTCCTCTAAGCCTTTCTGTACAAAAAAAAACCCACTGTTCTGATTTAATATAAAGGATACCCCTTCTAGAAGAAGAGTAAAACTTAAAAAAAAACTGAATAGAAAGTTATATTCTATTGAATAGCAGACTCACATTTTACTTATTGTTAATAGTCAAACCCAAGGGTTCTTAACCCTAGGTGTTCATAGATGATGCCCCTCCCCCAAAGGGTCAATTATTTATGTTTTATTATTTATTATTTATGGGTTTTTTATTATTATTTTTGATATTTAAGTTGCAGGAGGTCTGAGAACTTGGATGGGAAACAAATTCCATCTTCATTTCAATGTCATTCATAAAGAGCCAGGACTGGTGTCAGGCAGACCAGAATTCAATGCAGCCTCAGACACTTGATACGTGTCTCTGGGCACATCTTTTAACCTCTGACTCAGCTTCCTCATTAGTAAAATGAATATAATAATAGCACCTACCTCCCACGTTGTTGTGAGGATCAAATGAGATAAGAATCGTAAAGCACTTAGCACAGTGCCTGACACAGTAAGTACTATGCCATTATTCTCATTATTATTAAATTTATGTATTTAAAAGCATTATTATGAGAAGAGATCTACAGGATTAACCAGACTGCCAAAGGGGTCCATGACACAGAAAGGTTTAGGACTTCTGCTTTCTTATTCTTTCTAACACAATTCTTATGCATGGGAAATAGCTGTAACTAGCAATACTTGGAACTTGAAGACCAATAATAATGCTTTCGTTATTTACCCTTGATATTTCCTGAGCGGTGCGACATATGTAAAGAAGTTCAAAAAGGATTAATCCCAATGCAAAAATATCTACTTCATTCCCATAAGCTTGGGAACTGTTCTGAAAGAAAAGAAAGTGCCGTGGTATGATTATTCTCATTCATCTATACATCTGCATGCCTGTTGTGGAGAGTATCACAAAACTATTTAACAGAAAATATCTTCCTGGTTATTTCAGGAGGATGATGTGTAATGTTCAACTTATTAGAGATTATAGTTCAATAAAAAACATAAAACTGATAGAGAATGCTGACCTATACACCTTAAAGGCTGAGAATTCTTAGTTGAAAAGACATTTTATAAGTCCAGACCTAGACTGTAATCAATAATATGCCCAATTCTCTCCATTCTGACTCTGGCTTATAAAAATGTACACTGGGACTAAATATGGGTAAGAAACTAATTAAATAGTAAAATATCCTCTAAGAGAAAATCGTAAAACAAGATAACTACTGTAGTTAGCATTTGTTAACCTTTCTGAGCAACTTTTTTTCCCCTATACTGACAATGTATGGATAGGTCAGCCTTCAATGACATCAGTGGGTACAGGGATAGCTTAAAGAAGCAGAGAAAACTTGGTGGAGTGAGGTAGGGGGTGGGGAAGGGCAATGATTCTGCCTCTCCACAACACAAGACTCTTCAAACCATCGGGGAGCTCTGACATTCATGTTTAGTATTCAAAAAAGGGAAGAGGAAGGATGCATTGTGGGGACAGTCTCCCACAAAAGCAAATACTTTAAGGAGAACTGACTAAAAGGCAGCTTACCTGTTCCGGGCTCATATAACGAAGTGTTCCTACGCCTTTTGTCCGATCCTCTTTATTTTTCAATGAGGTTACAAGTCCAAAGTCACCAATCTTTACTTTGGTTTTATCTACTAAAAATATATTAGATGGCTAAAAAGAAAAAAAAAGAATTTCTTATTTTATATCTATTCCTGTTATAAGTTTTAAACATGTAAAGAGGGGTAGCATAAATGTGCAGTGTGCTGGTAGGGGCATCACAAGAGTTTTGGAATTATAGCATTTAGGTTCAAATCTCCAGTTGGCAACTTACTACCTGTGTGACCTTGAGAAAGTTAATTTACTTCACTGGCCCTAGTTTCCTCATGTGAAAATGAGAAGGATGAATAGATGATTTTCAGATTAGCTGCAAAAGCCTATGAGCTCTGGAAGTATGAATCACATTTATTCAATTTCTTTCCCTAATTCTTGGCTCGGTTTTCAATGTCTTCACTGGAAGAGATTGCCTAGTATTGGAGGCAGCATGGGTGGGTGGAAAGAGCAGTAGATTTCAAGTCAAAGAATCTGAGTTCTTCTCCTGGTTTTATCACTTACCACCTATGTGATCTTACCTCTTTAAGCCTTAGTTTCCTTGTCTGGAAAATGAAAGGATTGGACTAGATAATCTCTTAAGTTCTTCCCAGATCTAAAATTCTATGATCCTATAACTTTTATCCAAAACCAAAGTATCCAAAATCAAGAGATTCAACATTGGCATTCCTCAAGCTGCCAAAGAGCAATCATACTACACATTCCACAATAAACATGTTTCATGCTCAATGTAATTTGACTAAGGTGGCTCACTGGTTGGTTGTGAAACATCATGGATAGCTACTTTTAGCAAGTTAGTCAACACTGCTATGGTTATCTCTCTTAACAATGTGGCAGGCCTGGGACTTAACTGAGTTCTTGGAGTTCCATTTCTTCACATCTTAAATACAGAAATTCATCATTTTGACCTTTCCCGATCCCCGTCCCCCAACTCTACTGTCTTTCCTCTTGTTGATTATTTTCAATTTATACTGATTACAGCTTGTTTGTACGTATTTGTCTGCATATTATTTCTTTCATTAATCTATGAACTTCTTGAGAGCAGTAACTATCTTTTGCGTTTCTTTATAACTATAGAACTTAGCACAGTGCCTGGCACATCGCAATAAATGTTTATTGACCGACTGATTGACTCAAAGGTGTTTGCCTCCATAATGGAGGATATCCAGCAAAGTCTAAATTGAGCAGGGATGGTGAAGTCCACCAGAAGCTTATCTATGTGGATGACATCATGATGTTCATCTGAATTAAGCCCAAGAATATTTCTTCTAACTTCCTAGATGAGATTCATAAGCATTTTAAAAGATTTGGCCTTATCATCTGTACTAAGTAGCTCAGGAAGGTATCCTAAACCCAAGTAAATAGATGGATCTGATTAGATGAAATACACACACACACACACACACACACACACACACACACACACACACACACACGTACGTATCTGTGTACATATACACACATAAATACACACACATATATACACATAAATAAATACACACATACATATGTATGGCTGTTGGCGTGGGAGAGAGAACTGAGGGATCAAGGGATTGGAGATCAGAGTGCAGATGAAGAACACAATTCAGTTCTAAAGGCAGAGGCAGAATGCCACTAGATTGTGGTCAGATAAGGGTATTTTGGAGTTCATAAACATGAAAGTGGTGCATTTGTGAGCAAGATTAAGGGTATGACCATCTTTGGGTGTGGTGGAAGTGGGGTGGAGAAATAGATCATATGAAATGAGTAAGTTGTATAACTGTGGGGTTAGGGTGCTTGAGGGAGTATCAACATGTATACTAGATATTCCCTAGTATTAGGGCAGGAATTGGGGAGTACAGAAAAACTGTGAACTCAGAAAGGAAAGAAGGGAAGTATTCAGGAGATCAGTAGACCATAATTGTGATTGTGGTGAAGGAGAAATTAAGGAGAAAAAGTTATGTAGTGATGGTTGTAGAGGAAGAACCTGGAACAAGAAGTATTCCAACTACCTCAACTGGTGAGATAGGGGAACGAGGGAAAGTTCAGCTAGTGGTGGAAAGGGAGGCCAGGGAGGCTATATCCTTGGGAGGGAGCCAGGACTCAGTGAGAACCAAAAGGTGGGAGTGGAAAAGGAAAAGATTTAAGATGTTTTAAGTCTTATAACCTGGAACTCAGTGGGTCTCATAATCCTAATAGAATTTTAGCTGCTTGATAACCAGAGACATTTCAGAGGATTCATTCCCAACATAAAGAAAATCTAGAAAATGAGCATTGGGGTGGGCGCTGTAGACAGCTCCTTTCCACACACTTAAAGGACCAGGGGACAAATGCTTGGCCTTCAGCCCTCCTTTAATGTAACATCTGATGTTCTTCACCCCCACCCCCACCCTTGCTCCCACCCCACCCCTACCAATAATTTCCATGTCACACAGAAATAGGATTATTACAAGACAGAAGACATGGAGGCTGAAAAACCACCCTTAGATATGGCACTACAGAGGGACAGCTTGTCATTATCAATGACAAAATCATGTGCTATATTTTATATATATGTATATATATATATAGATATATATAGATATATATATATATCTATATATATCTCAGTATATTTTTGCTGGGTGAAGGGGATTATTTGTGTGAGAGAGTGAAATATTTAAGGATTTCTTGGAAGAAATCACTGCTATCCATGGAAATATCTAGTTGCATATTTCTTCCTACCAATTTTATAATACAAAATTATGAGACTTTACTCTGGGAGGGACTTGGCGAGCATATTTAAAAGGGCATAATAATAATAATGATGATGATGATGATCATAATTTTTAATAGATGTTATACCAAATACTCATAATCTCCAAGCCACATGGAATAAAATGTTTTCAAGAGGCAGAATCTGACCAAGTAGATCAAAATCACATAGGAACAGGATGAAGTACATATCTCTTTTATTCTGTCTGATGCTAGAACTAAGTTTATTGCCTATGGAACAAACATTCTATAGAGCACAATGGAAGGGGTAGATAGCTTTTGAGTGGAACATTGTCGGGGGAGGTGAGTTGAGGGGAATGATAATAAGGGATTAGGCTTTGGGGGATTTAGAACAGATTTGAATGATGACAGGGGTCCAGAATCAATGTAATGGGGAGGTGAGACAAGGAGGGAGTTTGCTAATCACTACAGAATGATTTTTTTCATTGTTTAGAGAGGTTTGGCCTCAAGATAGAGTTCTCTTGGAGCCGTAGGCAGATCAGGTGAAGTGACAAGTGCTAAGAACTGAAGGGATGGTATTATTCCTTTTCCCCTAAGGCAGGAGGCCAGGCTGGATCCTTAATGGAAAGGCCTTTCTCCTCTTCCTTGGAAAGGAGTCTGGCTTAGACAGAATGATGTTTCTTCTCTTCCTAAGGTAGGTTAGAGACCAGACAGAAGACCTGGCACAATAAAATGGCATTTCTCATTTTGCCACGGGAGGCTGGAGACCTGGTAGGAAATCTGGCAAGATGAAAGGGCATTTTCTCTCTCTACTCCAAATGCAGGAGACTGGTACTCTACTGAATGGTGTTTTTCCTCTTCCCCTGGAGGCTGGAGACCAGTGAGGCCAGGCAGAAGACCTGATGCACTGGAATGACATTCCATACCCTATCCTACCCTACCCTACCATAAAGGTAGGAAACTTTAATAAGCATTCTCGTCTCCCGGGTATAAGTGCCTCTACTTATATTAATGAACAAAGGGTTACTGAACAAGGTTTGACCTTAAAGGTGGCATTTTGCTCTAGAAAATCAAAATCTTTCCTATAGTCACAAAACAGTAAAAGTATAGTAGGATCTTGTATTCTTGAGTTCTTTCAGTCATCTGTATGAGGGCAAAGAAGTAGTATGTTATAGAATATTAGGTTAAAAAGCTCCCTATTCCTTACTAATATCCCCATCAAAGATGCCCTCATTGCATGTGTATGTTAGTCTCATAAAAATTTTATGTAAATGAGAAAGTAAATATATAGCTTGGTAGTCAATAATGTTTTCTGGGTTGCCTATTTTTGGGGGTCTTAATGAGATCTGAGACTTTCTCCCATACCTTTGATATTTTCCTCTCCTTCAGAAAAACACAGCCTTCACCTTCAATAGGGTCCAGAAATCCTCTTCACTTCTTTGCTCCACCACCCCAGAAAGGACTTAATCAATTGATGCCATGAGTTTTTGGGAAATACAAACTGGAGAGTAAAATGGGAGTCACTAAGAATGACTTTCCCAATTACTTTCCTAAAGGTCTGCATATGAATTCTTTCTATACTCCTTACTTTCTTCAATAAACCCTGTTCTGTGTTTAATAACCATATTAAGATGATACTTGCTGAGGAGTTAGGGAAGGGACATAATCCATAAGGACTATTATTAAGAAAAGACCCTCAAGACCACACCATCATGTCACAAGTCAGGGTCTGATGTGAGTTACACAAACATTTCTGTAGCCAGTAGAACATAGTGTCGTGTACCCAATAGCAATCTATACAAAATAGGTATTTTAAAAGTTGATAAGTTAAAATTATATTTTCAAATGAGATAATATTTGTAAGGTACTTTCAGTGCTTGGCACATAGTAAATGCTTAAATGTTTGTTCAGCTTGGCCCTTTCCAATTTAGTCTTCATTTTACAAAAGAAAAATCCAACACTTGGTCAACTTCAGTTTTATATGATGATCTTGTTTAGCTAATGATTCTAGGATGAAAAATAACTATAGCACTCTGAGCCCAGGAGCAGAGAGACATGTTGGTTCCAGTTTCCTGCTCAATCTGCCTGCAGCAGAATAACCAGGGCAGGAAACAAAGACCAAAAGGAGACCTACAAGTCTGTCAGCTTGCTAAGAATGGTTGAGTCTAGCAGTAGCCTACTGAAACTCCAACCAGGGTAAATCCCACAAGCATGTTGCTCAGTTACAAACTCAGGTCAGGAATTTGCAGAGCTTAGACTAGGAAGGCAACAATTGGATTCTACTGAACCTGGATCCACCACTTTGTGAACACTGAAAGTTTGCCAATCTCCAGCCTGAGCTTTCCCTGAAATTCAGTACTTCCTAGAAAGTAGTAAAAGAACCAGCCCAGACATTCCTTCCAGAAGTATAAGTATGACCCTAACATAAAATCTCAAGTAAGTAAGTAGGCTGGAAGAATGAACAAACAATAAAAAAGGATCCCTTCAATCCACTGATCACCACTTGAAAGAGATCCCAAAATGAAAACTCACAGGAACATCATAGCTAAATTTAAAAGCTCCTGGGTCAAGGAGAAAATAATACAAGCAATTAGAAAAAAAAATTTTTTTAAACTACCATCAGGATAACATAAAATTTAGCAGCTTCTACATTAAGAAAAAACAAAGATCATGGAATAATATATTCCAAAGAGCAAAGGAGCTGGGCTTGTAACCAAGAATAATAACTTACCCAGCAAAGCTACATATTATCCTGAATAGAAAAAAAAATGGATATTTAATGAACTTTCAGGTATTTGTAGATTAAAGATTAGAACTAAATAGAAATTTTGACCTACTAGACTCAGGAGAAACATGAGAAGGTAAACATTAAAAACCAATAATAAAAGACTTAGTGAGGTCATAATCTTTACTTCTTATATGAGAAACCATTATCTGTGACACTTAAGACTGTTATCATTACTTGGGTAGTTTGAAAGGGGATACATAGATAGAAGGCTTGGGGTTGAACTGAGTATTATGGGATGACCCTAAAAAATAAAATTGGGTAGGAAGAGGTAAAATGGAGCAATTATCTCATATAAATGAGGTGTGAAGGGAAGAACTGTTACAGTGGAGGCAGGAGGGAGTAGAACTGGGTTAAACAGGGAATAGCATACATTTAGAAGGGTATAAAAGTCTTCTTAACTTACAGAGAAATAAGAAGGTGAAGAGACAGGATAAGGGAGGGACTCTTAGAAAGGTGTGTAGATCAAGAAACAGGAGGGTAAGGGGAGAGGATAAGGGAGGGATTCTTAGAAGGAGAAAGGAGGATAAGGGGAGAGAATAAGGGAAGGCTTAAAAAGGGGAGAGGATAAAGGAGGGACTCTTAAAGGGGTAAGTAGATTAAAGAATGGGAGGGTAAAAGGAGAGGATAAGGGAGGGATTCTTGGAGGGGTTGCAGATTAGGAAGGCAGTGGTTAGAAGTCAATTAGATGTTTGAGGAAGGATAGAGTAAAGATAGAGGGAGAGAAGGATAAACAGTAACAAAAAACAAAATGGAGGGAAATGCACAACTTTGTAATTGTAACTTTGTGTGTGAATGGAATGAACTCACCTATAAAATGAAAACAGCAGAATGGATTAAAAAACAGAATTTGACACTATGTTGTTCACAAAAAAAATTTTTTAAATTAGAGATACACATAGAATAAAAATAAAGAACTGGGTAGAAATTACTATGCTTTAGCTGATGCAGAAAAAACATGGGTATCAATTATGATCACAAAGTTAAAGCTAAAATAGATTTAATTAAAAGATATAAACAGGGAAACTACTTATAATAAAAAGTACCATAGATAATGAAGCAATATCAATGTCATATCTGTATGCACCAAATGCTATTATAACATCCAAATTTTTAAAGGAAAGGCTAAATGAATTACAGATGGAAATAGCAAACCTATAATAGGTGGGGATTTCAATCTTCCCCTCTCAGAACTACATAAATATAACAAAAAATTAAATAAGAAAGAAGTCTAGGAGATGAATGGAATCTTAGGTAAGCTAGATATGATAGACATCTGAAGAGAACTGAATGGGAATAGAAAGGAATACACATTTTTCTCAGTGGTACATGGTACCTTTACAAAAATTGACCAAATATTACATGAATAAAAACTTTAAAGTTAAACTTTAAGATTAAATGAAGAAAAGTAGGAATGTCAAGTGTCAATTTTCAGATCATAATGAGTACAATTATATTTAATAAGGGACTATGGAAACACAGATCAAAAATTAATTGGAGATTAAATTACCTAATCTTGAAGTGTGAGTGGTTTAAAGAACAAGTCATAGATACAATTAAAAATTTTATTTTTATTAGTCAATCTAATATGTGGAGATGATACATGTGTCCCACAGAACTCTATCATTGTAAGCAGTCACAGAAGGACTGTAATAATACAGAGAACTTGGGAATGGTTTTGCTATGCTTTGATGATCTTCAAAGAAAAAATAGAAATGGAAAGGCAAATGAATACACTAAGGGGGAAAGTGGAGAGGAAGGTTAGGGAAAATTATCTCAATCAGGGGACAAGTCAAAGTCTTTACAAACATGGAGGGAGGTGGAGGGAGCAGGTGACACTTGAAACTCACTTCTGAACTGGTCAAAGGAGGGAAGAATACATATACACACAGATTTAGATATAGAAATATGTTTAACTGAACAGGGAAATGGGAGATAAAGGGGAGATGGAGAAATAAGAGGAAAGGCAGATTAGGGGAGAAATTAGTCTTAAGGAAAAACAAACTAAGAATATAAAAAATATTTAAAGCAGCTCTTTTTGAGGTGGCAAAGATTTGGAAACCAAGGTAGTGCCTATCAATTGGGAAATACCTGAATAAATTATGGTATATGATTGATGGAATGGTATTGTGCTATAAGAAATTATAATAGGGATGACTTCAGAGAAACGTGGAAAGATTTATATGAACTGATACAGAACGAAGTGAGCAGAACCAGGAGAACAAAGCATACAATGACAATAGTGTTATAAAGGCTATTTTGAAAGACTTAGGAACTCCAATCAAACATAATAATAACCAGGATTCCAGAAGACCCATGATGCAATATGCTACACACCACCTCATAGAAAGGTGAAGGATTCAGAATACAAAATTTTTTATATGTATCTCTCTCTCTCTCTCTCTCTCTCTCTCTCTATATATATATATATATATATGTATATATACGTGTGTGTGTGTGTGTGTGTCTGTGTGTATTTGGACATGGTCAATGAGGAAATTTATTTTGCTTGATTATACATGTTTTTATAACAGTTTTGTTTTTCTTTCTCAGTTGGGGTGGGGGAGGAGGAGGTGTGAAGGAGAGAAGGTAGATTTTTGCTAACTGAAAGAAATGAAATTTATTTTAAAAAATTACTTCATCTGGATTGAGCACTATCAATTACAAACACATTCACACACAAAGAAATTGAATTGCAAAATGCATTTACAGTTATCTACTTCCAAAAATATTATTCCACTTCAATTCAAGAAACAAAATATTCATTATCATTTACCTTAAGGTCTCTGTGAATTAATTTTTCTGAATGTATATATTCCACTCCTGCTGTTATTTGTTGAAATAAGTTCAAAGACAAAGCTTTATCTGGCTCACTGCTGTATCTTTGATCATCAATCCAATCTTTTAATGTCCCTCCTTCACACAATTCCATTACAATAAAAAGGCAGTTAATCTTTGACCTGAATGTAAAATCATGATATTAATATCAATGAAAATGCACTTTTTTGTGATGCAACATATTTTTCCTAAAGATTTTTAAAAGAATATCAACAGAAATATAAATGTAATAATTCAATTGACTCAAAAAGCTAAAAGAGAATACTTCCTAGTTAAACTGTTAAGAAATTGAAGTTTAGAGAGATAAAGTAAAAGAGTGAAAAGAGTATT